TCTAAAAAGGTAAGCCTCAAGGAATGCATCTCTTTAGCTTCATACATCTTCCTATCAACTTTGTCCACTTTCACAGATTTTTTTTTTAAACCCTACATGCAGTATGGGGCTATCCTCCTAGTTTCACATTGAAGATGATCTGTTCAAGTTAATACGCAATAAGTTGCAGTTAGTTTCCCACCTCACGTATTATTTTGGACGTAGGCAAAAAAGTCAAACATGACTTTCTTGTCGCTAATCTTCCATAATGAATACCTTTTAGACAGTACGCTCAGGTGTGGTGACATAATGTACGTGACCCACAGGCGTAACTATGTGAAGAACTGGTGTTGACATATCCCCACCAACTTTGGCCTGTTGGCGACATTCCCCACCAATGATTTCAGCTTTTTGACCCCTTTTTGCTCAATTACTTTACCCAATGGTAACAGAGGTTGGTTGCAGCTATCTGTGTTCAGACCTTTTTTAGTCTGTTTTTTTTTACAAAGTAGCTGCGTGGTTGGAGGGGAGACACACAGCAACACTCAGTGAATTTAACCGGCAGCTACCAGTACTTTGATATATGTTTAAGTCCAAGTTAGAAGACAGGTTGTTTAAGAAAATTAGGCATGCCACCAAAAAATCAGTTCATTAGACATATGCTTTTTCAGTTATAAGTTAGTCTTACAATGCAATAAGCTTGATAAATCATAGTTTGTTCTTCTTTACTAGGTAAAAAATGCTTGGCTTCTCAGAGGACCATGACTCACAGTTACAGGTTAAAATTAACACATGGTTTCTTACTGTACAGACAGAATCAGACTGCAGCGCTTCTACTTATCTCGGAATTTTGTTTCTGGCATCATTATATTAGTAAAGAGGTTCATAAATCTTTTTAAACAGAGCAGAGAGAGAAGTAGGGAGGGCCACAGGTTTAAAGGTGAAACAGATTTACTGGGATATGCAACATGCAATAGAATATATCTGCAAGTTTACCAGAAAGTTTACAAGAAAGAAATACACTATACTATAATTAAAATGCAGCATATCCATATTCTTCTGGATGGATGGAATTGAAATTAATCATTCTAGGGATGCATGATTTATCGATTTTTGACGTGGCCCTTTTCTATTTTAAAAATGCATGTAGGCCTTCATTTCTTCTAGTTGTAATCTTTGACTCTATTTGTTAGGTATATTTTGGTAACAGGAAAAAAAAAACGGACCTCTTTAGCCCCCGGTGCACAACATCTTTTTTTTTTTTAGATTTTTGGTCATAGAAATTGAGGAAAAGAGCAAAGTATGTTAAGCAATAAAAAAAAAAAAAATAACTGTCTTCTATTTTTGCAAACAGCCCAGCCCTCCTTGTATGTTTCCCTCTTGGCTTTCCAATTTAAATGCAAATGTTCCCAAATCGGACTCAAAAAAATGCTCGGGCGAAATCATTTAATGCAGATGAATTATATATTTTAATTAAGCAGCCAAAAGAATCATGCCTATTCAGCCCTTTCCTCTCCAGTGAGAAATGAATAAATAAATATGGAATAAGGAAAGGGGGGTAAATGAAAGGGTTAGGGTGGAAGAGATGGTTGAAAGGGGACAGGGGGTTTGGATTGAGTTTGTGAAATTGCAGCTCTCAGCACCTGTTTCCTGTCATTATGTGAGCAATCTGAAGCTGTCAGATTTCAAAAATGTATTGTTCTCTGATAGACGGCCTAAATACCCCTGGAGTTCCCAGTACACACATATACACAATATTATTCTCACATAGTTGTACCAGAAGAGTTTTAAAATGCGTGTAAACACCAATACACACAAATATGCACATACATATTTAAGTTATGATGGGCAAAGCAGAACTTGGAAAATTATGACCAACGATGAGGATTGTGATGCACTGACAAGGGCTGCAATTTTAATTTCACCCGCTGTCAGTCTCCTCAGTATCTGTTTAGATGAAATACATATGAACTGCCAATCACTCACAAACACAAACAGGCACTGAAGTTCACAAATGATAACGCAGGCTCACATTTATACGCCCATATACTTATCAGAACATTTAAAGGGGACTTTAGAGAATTCACATTATCCTTTATAAGCACAAAAGTAAATCCTAGTGTTGCTAACCAAACAGTAAACAGTTTTGATTTCTGAAAACATGTGCATTTCAGGGGCATGTGTGAGAACTTTTCTAATGCAAAATATTGGATAAACTTCAAAAATGAACAAAAAACAACTCCATTTGAGTATTGTCTAGGCAACTGGATGTGAGGATTTCTAGAAGACATTTCGCATAGATGACTGAGAATCTTCACGGATATATTTAAGCATTTTTCTTTCTGACATGACAGCATGAAATCCAGTTGTATTCACGGTGCTAGTTTTCACCTTGTGTCACACTAAATTGTAACTATAATACAGAAAAATAACATCATCATGAGCTATATATTTAGTTCTGCTGTACCACAGTGGGGTGGAAGTGGTTCCTGTCCATCAATAAAAGAGTAGAGTACTACAAAAGGAACAGCCTTCTATTTGTTGTCTTTTGCTTGTCTAGCCAGAAAACAATGAAACTGGAAACAGATTTAGGAGGAAAACCCAGACATTCCTCTCCTAATGACTCTCCAGCCTAATATGGGAAATCTTAAGGTGCTCTGAAGTCCCGAAGTAAAATAACATTTATCAAGCATGGTTTGTTGCCTGGAAAATGTAGAAAAAGGAGTCTAATTTGAACTAGTCTAAGCAGATGAATAAAGTGGGATTTATTGAGGACAAGGCCTGGCTTTCAAAGCTCCAAGCCCTCATCCTATCTCCAAGGCAGATCCTGGCGTACCAGTTGTGAAGGAGGCAGGGTAAAGGACTTGGAGGATGCTTTAGAGTTGGCTGCTGCGGCCTGGCTAAGCTCAGCCCAAAAGTCAGCAAGAAGCCACCTTCATATGAGCCACTAGCAGAAATAAAAAATGAGTTGGGGTGTTGATGACTTCTCTCGATTATCTTTTACACCCTGGACAAGGCGGTGGACCTTGCTGACAGGGGCCCACTCCTTGAGCAAAACGACTTCCAGTGTTGCAAATGTCTCACAAGCTGTATCAGAACACCCACACTTTCCACTTTTTGATTGCCCCTTCAAAACCCTTATAATTTGTAATTCATAAAAAAAAAGTGTTCAATGTTTTAGACTGTTCTATATCTTTTTGAGATTCTGTTCCTTCCATAAAAAGCTTTTTCGTGTCCCTGAACTTCAATCCCCAGTGCTTGTAGTTATGTATTCCTTGTTCCCCTCCTTCACAAGATGCTTTAACATGTTGTGGGTTTCACGTTCTTAACGCGGAGAGACAGAATGAGTGAAGGATATGATATGTAGGTTGGGAATAGAGAGATGCACAAAGAGAAGGAAAGGATTGACTGAGCAAAAGAGTGAAAACAAGGAAGTAAGAAGCAGAATACTGGAAAAAAAGTTGGTAGCTGAAGCAAAACAAAGAGTGAGAAGTAATGGGATATGACAGACGTTAGTATCAGCTGGAGCTTCACCCCAGAAGAACAAGGAAATTCACTTCCTTTCTTTTGCTCTGTTTAAAGTGCTCATTCCATTCTTTGCACACACACCTTACTCTGTGCAACTCTCAGCTGCAGGCAGACCTGTAGACAACCTTTGTACATATGAGAGCCAACTATTTCTTACTTAACAGAGGAAAGGAGAGAAGATACAGAGTAGAGGGAAAAGACAGTTATAAGGAAAGATTTGGGTTCAAGTCCCCTTGCTGGCATGAATCTCATGCAGCTCAGCTGTACTTGAAAATAGCCAGGAATTTTGAAGAGCTCCAGAACTGTAGTTCTAATGTTTAAAACCTGAGATATTAGACTTTAAAATAGGCATTGAGAGAAACTGCTTTTCCACAACAAATATGTATTTCAAAACAACAAAACTAAAAAAAGAAAAAAAAGAAAAAAAAAAGGAAGAAAACATTCGAGATGTTTACATTACTATTTCTCAAAAAACTGTACCTGTGTGCCTATTCTAATTTGCAAAATAGCTTAAGCTCAGTCAGGCTGGTGCATGATGCATAGACTTTGCTACAGATTTGAAGTTCAATTCAATAACCTTTCCATTAAAAGTCTTACCCTAAGTTCAAAGTAAATTTCCTCAAGAAAGATAATACTCTAGCCTACTCCTAAGTTGACAGAAGCCTCTAACAGGTTTACAGACAAGAATACCCATTATTTAGTTCCATGCAGTTTACAATCAAACCTGTCCATCTTTTGTATTCCTGTTGATGATAACCAACCAAATGATGTTGAGAGAGACAATGCTTTTACCTTTAGGTTTTACTGTAGGGATGGGGTGTTCAGTGTGATTTCCACTGCCAGTTGCAGAACATTTTACAAAAGAAATCCAGTGCATTTTTAAAGTGCTTTCTTACCATTCTTACCTTTTTTCAATTTCCAAGGTGCCTGGTTCAATTCTCAAATTCCTGTGTTGGAATCTTTTCTAACCAACAATGAGCCAACAACTAAAATGGGGGATTTTAAAGTGATTATTTAAAGCAAAGAATTACCCATAAGTTCTTGTTTTAAGTTGAAGCTGTTGTTGTTTGTTCTGTGCTATACCTTTAAGAGCTGCTGGCTATGGCCCATCCCAATGGGGATGGATCCATTAGGCTAATGAATTGAGAGCAAAAACATAGAAAGGGAAAAGAAGTCAGGAAATGCAGATCATAGCAAAAAAGTACAAAAAAAAAACAACAACTCACTATTTGAACAACCGAAGTAAGACAAGTATAGAAGGAAATAAGCAAACTTAATAAGAAAGAAAGTGTACAAGAAAATGTGCTTTTAGGAATGTAATGAAGTGAAAGGAGATAGACAGAGCAAGATCTAGAGAAGACAGGAAGTGGCTATCTCTCTATCTGTTACATGGTGCTGTCCCTGGGTCTGTCAGTCAGTCAGGACAACAGGCGCACACACACGCTGTCCTGCTCTAACACACACGCCTGACTTTGCTGTATGTGTGTTTACAGATGGCAAACCTTGTGACATCGTTATGCTGTGTAGTTCTGGCAGCAGTGGTGGTAGCCTATGCTCAGAGACGCAGCCAGCTAAGTAAGTACGCATTTTATCTTCTTTGCAACAGTAATCTACCAACCCATAGTCTCCGTCTCAGTTTTTCTTTTTTCAACAAGTAAACATGTTTTGTAATCAGATTTACTCTACTGTGTTATCTACTTCTTTTTAACTTGGTATATGTGTCTCTTTACGTATCTTTCTTTGGGTGGCAGTTTTGTTTCATTAGTTTTCTTTATACTGTAGTTTCCAAACTTCTTGGATTCTCTTTTATTTTTTGAGTACAGCTGAAAATATGAATCTTCTTTTATATGATTGGGAAAAAAAGGCCTATACATACATACATACATGGGATGAATAACAGTATCAGATTATACCAAATTTAAAAGTAAAGAAACCTAATTGTTTCTAAATTTTCATTACAAGTAATTTTAATAATAGTTTTTACAATCTCTCCATCTAATTAGGGTGAAACTGTTATATTCACCAGAAATTTTCCAAGCTGTATGAATAATAGTATAAAGTAAAACACTTTATATCCTCCTCCTTTGCTGCACACTCCCAGGCTGCTGTGTGAGGAAGAGAAATATTGATGTCTTGAAATATTTGGGACCCCAACTGTGTTGTCAGTGTGTTATTTGTGTTAGGATATAAAGATCAGAATACAAAAATGATTTTCCACTAATATAATTTTTATGTTGCACAGCCACTACTAAATATAGTGGCCATTTATTATTTAGTGCTTCTGTGTCTCAAAACAACAACAAAATACTGCACAAGCGAGTCCCTAGGTGCACATTCTTTTTTTCTATCTACCTATATTTCCTTTTCCATTCATTATGAAGCTTAGAGTTTTAGTTTATGTCAGTCTACCTACCATATACATGTACATTGCCTTTGGTAAAGTCAATAATTTGACTCTTTTTAGATTTGGCTCCTATACACCACTCTGGCTAGGATCAGGATGTTTTCAGTCCGAGGCTGGGACCGATAAAGTAATGGGTTCTACTCAGCTTAGCAGACAAGTCAGCCTGTCACTTGACTCTTACTCAAGACTTTCCTTGCCTTATTAACCTATGAGAATTGACTGTTAAAATCAGCTGACCCAAAGAAAGACCCTTAGGATGTCAATAAGTCCACAGTGACGCACATCGCTGTGTCACGAGACTCTAACACAAACACAAAGACACAGTATAAACTGTAACGGCAACGTGCATTTTGAGAATTTTTTGAGAGCACAAAAATGGGTAAACAATGGAGAAGGGGAGTAAAAAATAGAAACCAGCAGACTGAGAAAGCAAGCCAAATCCGTAATTAATGTTGAAGGGGAAGGTTGCTGGGTATTGATGTGAGGGAAGCTGAGAAAAATACGAAATATTTTCCAATGTGAGCGAGGCATAAAAACTGTCTGTTTTCCTCTTTCCTTTCCTTTTAGAAATTTAGTCAATTAACTTCATAATTAAAAGTATTGGGATTTTTTCAATATAAATTTAAACTGTATTTTTTATTTCTTTAATTTTGAACTGTTAAGAAATAAGAAAATAACTAGTTAAAAGAAGCAAGGGGAAAAGGAATTGGAAGGCTTTACACTATCCTGAATAACTGGATTTGTATTGTCTATAAAAATTATTGAATTAAGGAAACTAACACAGATCACTTATTAAAAAACAGATTATTTCATATTTATATTAAAATTTTTTACAACCCTGTACCAGTCTCTACCCTAGTAAAACCTGGCTTACATTGTACCCCTTTGTTTTGGTTAAAACTACCCGCTCTCGGTTCCAAAGATATGTAATAGCCCAGTATTTGTTGTGTTATGCAGCCATTTATCCAATTTATGATGTACAAACACATATTTACAGAATTTGTTTATGCAAAGGGTCTAATTTCTTATCATGGTTTATTACAATGGAGAAGTGCTAATATAGTAAAATTGATATAAACATCTGAATGTTTTTAGGTCATGGAAAAAGGAGGAACATTTTTGTTGGGCGAGGCTCCATCTGTAAGAAATCCACATTGAGAAAGGCACCCACTGTGAATACACATCTGTATGTCTGTGCAATGCAAAGGGAAGGAAGTTCACACTAATTATTGATAGCACTGCATCATAGAACAATGAATAAGATTATGGGATATGAAGTATCTGCAGAGAGACTGATATTAACAAAAACAGTAGGTTTATAGAAGCATATTTACAGCAAGCTTATTTTAAAACAGTTTTAAAACGGTCAGAAAAATTCAATGTTTTAGCTGTCATCTAATCTGCATCAAGATTTTAACTGCCAGAGACTAACACAACATATCCAGACTTAACTGCCAATAAGATTAATTATTTCTTGAGTAGAAAAATCCCATAAGCCAGAATGAAATGCACTGGTCGGAATAAATAGAATACATACCAAATACCTATTTTGTTTCTTTTAGAGATTTTTATGAGGAAAAAAAAAAAACACCAGCAAAATAATTCTGCATAGAAATCTGAGCGCCACAAGCTGCAGTCACTTAATAAACCCTCACTTGAAACGAGGTGGGAAAAAAAATAATAAAAGCAAAAAAGAAAAAAAAAAGAAAAAAAAAACTGATGTGGAAGTAAGGTCAATAAAATTTTAATTAAATATTTGGAGCACAAAGAATGACAGAGATATTTTTAAGGGGAATGGAAATTTGTTTTTCTAATGCGAAAGACAGAATGGGTGCTTTTCTTCACAATACATAAAACAAACAGGAAAATCTAATCACAAATGACATTGAACTACAGAGAGCTGATTGTTGATCACCATACAAGTGTAATTAAAATAAACTTTATTTGATTTTTTTCTTGATGTTTTTGCAGATTAATGGAACAAATACTATAGAGCCTTTAGAGTACTATGTTGCTGTTATTTGCTGATGTTTACTTTCAACCTAAATAATTCTGCACAACCATATTTTACCTCAAACTATAGAAGCTCACTGTGTTGCCATTGCTCTTTGAAATGTTGCCCATCAAACCTAATAAGGTTGTCAGATCTCCTATCCTATCCTGCTATCCTATCAATATCTCTGTTGTCTGCATAGCTTGGTAAATGTTTGTGTCCCGGTTTTGGAAAAAATGTGCATTTGATTTACCTACGAACTTGAAACTAAGAAATTGGAGAATGGTCATCTCTTGTAAAGCATTCCAATTGGCTGCACTTGTAATGTTCAATGTTCATATAAACAACTATGACCCCTTTTACATCCATAAGAATGACAAAAAGGCACCATATTTTAAAAACATTTGACTCAGACACATGCCACTTTCTTTCCACCTAAATATACTCCTGCTCAACCTTTTCCACTCATCCCCACATGTCTGTATACTTAGATTGAATAGAATGTTTAACTAAGAAGAGTGATTTGAAAATGCACAAATACCCATGTGTAATTCTGAGGTTTCTTAAGACAAAACTGAGCTTTATTTGTTCTGAAATGTTCCAAATTGTTAAAATAAGCCATCAATGCCCCCCTGCGGGTAAATGCCAGTGATCAAACACCTGCCTGCTCTAGACGATCAATGAGAAGAAAAAAACAGCTAGCAGTATGCCAATCAGCCAGACAAGCCCTGCGTCTTCCTCCCTTTATAAAAGAAAAAGAGAAGAACAAGCACAGTAACTGGACCAAAGCAGTCATCACAACAGCAACATGCGATTTAGAGTTAAAATGAGAATATTCTAGTTACTGAGATACAAACTGATATGTGCTTTTTATCGATCGTAAATAAATGTGAATTTAATTACGTTCTTGCTACTATTTGCATTTATAAGCTAGTAAACTTTTTAAAAGATTCCCCTAATACTAATAAACAACTTTACATTAAAATTGGCCAGCTATGGGGAAAAATTTTGGATGATTGAAGGGCTCAATAAAGAAATTGTTCCTGGATGCTTTTGTTTCTTCTAGATAACATTTTTCCAATAGCGATAGAGTCAATCATTTAAAGTCAATCATATTGAATGAGAACCTGAATATTGATACCAAGCTAGGAAGAGATAAACTATTTGGCTTTTTTATCCCTGTAACTGAGATGTCTTGTCTGCAAACACTAATTACAGTGAGAAAGATAAACATCTCATTTAGTTTTTATTGCAGTTCTTAACAGAATTGTACAAAACGTAGATGAAATCCATTTTCACAAACTTATGTTACTAACACTAGTTAGTTTGTGTATTGAGCATATTAATGATATTTTTTTTTACTTGAACTTAGGACTCCATTAATTTAGTTTTATGTAATTTTCAGATCTAAGTTCCCTATATTTCTACTGGAAACTTTCTGTAAGAAGCAAAATTGAATGCTGAAGAACCCCACTATGAGTTATTTGTGCCTATTAACTTAACATTTCAGTTAAGTTGATAATGTATACCTTCCACAAACAAATATACAAATTTTCCTGAGTACACAGAAACTAAACATTAGATTAGTACCTTCATTTCGAGAGCCCTAGCATCAAAATGATGTGGTTAGGGTTATAGATTTCAATAATGGCCAAAGATATGCAACAAAAATACTCATCATTCTTGATCAAATATTTCCTAAATTAAATTTGGATGATAAAATGTTTATAATAACTGACATAAAAATGTCAGTACCAGTTAGTTAGATAATTTAATTTGTTTTACCAGTTACGTTTGCAATTGGATGACTCCAAATTAATTTAGTAAGGAAAATCGATACAGTCTTGTCGCTGTTGTAGAGTCCTGGCATATAACATTTGTTTAATCAGATGTTTAATCCATCATCACTGTCATTCACTCTAAACTATAAAATGAAATGAAACCAAATAGCATCGAAGACGATGTGGATTCTGTAAATTCTGAATGTTGTCCATTTTAGTCTTGTTTGTTTTGATGTTGCTAGTTTTGCCATCTTATTTATTTCTGATATTCTTTTTGCTTTAGAATCCATTTCTTTTTCAGCAGTCTGTATGAAGAAAATGTGCTACTGTGGTGATGGCATGTTGTTTGCTTTATGGACATGTTGTGTGTTGGCGACCATATTCTGACTTAGAGGTG